CAGGCCGGTCCTTCACTCTTTCCAGAGCAGATCCCTCGGCCGGATGGAACCACATAGCGGGCCGCATCTGGCCCATGGGCCTTGTGTTTGACATGTCTGCATTAAGCTATGTTTTCTTTAGCACTGTTTAACCAGTATGAGAATATGTAATTATATCTGAACTGTACTCGTGGCCCCTACATATTTACTCATTGTTCAAACCATATGAATGTCCAGCTGCATTTCTTACAAAGCACTAGTCCGGCTCTGCAGACTAGTGGGGTTAGTGGCAGCTGCAATTGCGGGGGAGAAGGGATGGTTTTGCGTAAGCAGCGGGAGTGAAGTTTCACCTGCTCGCCCAGTTCTCAACGGTTGGGGACTCCTGCAATAGTGCATATAAAAAGTAGCTTGACTGAACACAAGACCCTTGTTTTCAACACCAGGATGTGGCGTTTCAATGTGTAACTTTCATTGTGTAAATATACAGCAGAGTATGGAGCTTGTAAAAACAAAGCTGGTTTGCAAAGACAGAAAGATACAGTGAGTGAGGGGAGGTGGTGCTAAGTAATTGTGCCTCTTTCCTTTTTATCTCTACCCTCATGCCTTCACTTTAATTAAGGTACAATTGCTTATGTTTATGGATGACAGGTGGAACTGTACTCAAGATCACTACGTATGACCTCTTTGTTCCAACTGCATGAACGAGGGATTGACTTTAGAAGTCAATAAACATCTAAAAAATCAGTCCCTCATTCTGAAGAAGTTTATTGACTACTAATAACACTCACTGTGCAGTAGTATTCCCAGTTGGTCCTTGGAGTAACCATTTTTGGATGTGAGCATTAATCAGATATTGGGGAACTGGACCTTGGTGTTCTAACCACATGAATGCCCAGGTGTACTTCACTGTTGGATAATCTATAAAATAACTCAACTCAGTATTGGATACTTGTTTTCATCATGATTCATTCAAACTGCATGCTCCTCACTTTTGGACTGCTCATTTTCTGCTTTCAGGATGCCTCTTCTATAGGTAGGTAGCAAGAACTTCCTTTTCCTTCCATACCTATGTGCATTCTGCTTGCCACTGCTCCTTTGTCTTCCAAGATATGATCACATGAACAACAGACTTGATGTTGGAGGGACCTTTAACACATGGGATTTAGTTTAGGAAGCCAGTTTCTGGAGTGAATCATCTGAAACAAACAGAATAAAAGTCCTTTTTCTGCAGTATTGTCTGTCGGTCCTTAGTTCTGGGGTAATCATTTTGGGATGTGAGCATTTTTCACGTTGCCCTGGACTCTGGAGTTAGAACAGTTTATTTTCATGCGATGAACTTCTGAGTTTCTTTAAAAGAGACGGTCTTATTTTCTTCTTTTCACTTTCAGGTGTATATCCCGCGAAATGTACACAAGTTCCTACAATAGGATTGTGTATGTCTCCTTCTGCTCGCTATTTTTTCAACTCAGCAACTGGGATATGTGTGATGTTCACTTATAGTGGATGTGGAGGGAATGACAATAACTTCTTAACTTTGAACATATGCATAAAAGAATGCCAAAGCCATGGTAAGAAAGAAATTGAAATCTTTTCCTTGGCGCAGGGATCCCCAAACACCAGTCCCTGGACTGGCACTGGACCGTGGCATACCAGCAACCGGGCCACGCAAATAAGTGAAGCCCCATCTGCTGGATGCAGGCAGCACACGAAATCACGGCCCCTCTGATCCTCGCCGGCCTCCTGCCGGCTTCGTCAGGGTGGCTAACCATCAGTGGGTGGCTGTTTTTATGGGAGTGGTGCCTTTTGCACCCGGCTCCTCGATCTCGTGACCGGGCCCAGATAGTCTTCTTGTTTCGCATCCTTAATTGTTCCTTTGCGAGTTGTTGTGTTCCTGGTTCTCTCTTTCCCACCTCCTCTATCATACGTTTTTCCATTAATAATATGTTGTTCCTAAAACCTACAGATACTGTTCTTTGTAGGTCAACAAGATTCAGAGCAATGTATTTGGGAACTGGAAAATAAACAATATATGAATTTTCCAACCTTAAGCAGACGCCACAAATACTTAGACCTGGTTGAAGAGAAGGTACATGCAAACTCTTTGGAAGAGGAGGAAAGAGAATGGCCCACCCATCCCTCCATCTTCATGTGCCCCTCCCCCCAGTGTTGAATTCCCAGTTCCAGAAGCGCTTTCTCCGTCTTTCTGCTGGAATACAAGCCCCAACTTTCAAGCAAACGGGACAAAAGCTCTCCCTGATGACTTTCTCAGTCCATCCCAGAAATCTGGGATCTCAGGAATGGGGGTTTGGTGCCTCTTCTTAGGGGTACAGCAGCTTGTGTCTGCAATTCAGTTCTTTGAGGACTTCTAATGCCAACTGGCAATGATTCAAATTTGAGTTTTCGCACTATGTTAGGGCTGGCAACTTGTTTTCACTTTTTCAGAACCCAATATATATTCGTGCAATGATCTTCAGGGTTTCTTTAGGAGGGACAGTGTGTCTTATTTTCTTCCTTTCACCTTTAGGTGTAACTCCAGGGATATGTAATCTTCCCGCAAAAGTAGGACGGTGCAAAGCTTCATTTCATCGTTTTTATTTCAACGCAGCAACTAAGAACTGTGAGGAATTCATTTTTGGGGGTTGTGGAGGAAATGAAAACAACTTTCTAAATTGGTTTCAGTGCAGAGCTACATGTCAAAATTCTGGTAAGTAGGAAATTTTAATTTTTGCTTTGGCACACAATTAAAACAAATGGCATTTTAGTCTAGTCCGTCAATCATTGATCTGAAAACTCTTGAGTCCCAAAATTACCTCGATCTCAGTTCTGCAATCCAAGTGCTGAACTAGGGGGAGGAGCTTATAAGTGGGTGCAATCAGCAAAATCAGATCTTTTAAAGTGGTAAAAATGCAAAAAAGAAATTTTCTAAAGAAATGCCATAAAGGTAGCTTCCTTGTTTTTACTGTTTTTCTTGCAGTTATGTGTCTCAATTGATAAAGGGGAATCACTTTGGAATTAAGCAAAATACTGAAAAATCAAAGAAAATTATAGATTCCTCAAAGGAAATGTCACTTCTAACGTGTGCAATGCCTGGAGATACTTTTGTTTGTTCAGACTGCCTCGTAATGCTTCATGAAAGAAAATGTATTATATATCATTACAGCATGAAAATGCTGCTATTCTGCATTCAAGTACCAATGAATTTTCTTGCAGTGTTTGGAGTGACACATCTACGTATGTGGACCTGGCTATAGACTGGGACTTCTTTTCTAGTTATTAACTTTTGAGGACCTATCTGGTTCACTCTCTTGTAATAGACCTGGCATCTTTTGAGTATACTGGCAACTCTCCTAACTCATCCTATTTCCTCTGCCACCACTGTCCCCCATTTTGTTTGTAAGCGGTTCAAAGGTCTTACTATTGAGCTGAATTATAGAGACCTACTTGGTTCCAACCTTTATAGAAAGACAATAAAAATTCAATTTTGGGAATCCATCCTAAGTAGACTCTGCAAATACTTAAACCTGGGTGAAGAGAAGGTCCATGTGAAGTCTTTGGAAGAGGAGGAAAGGGAATGGCCATCCACCCCTCCACTTTCAGGTGCCCTTCCTCCAAGTGTTGAATGCCCAGCTCTAGAAGGGGTTTCTCCTTCTGCCTGCTGGAATACAAATCCTAACCTTCAAGCAATTGGGAGGAAACCTCTCCCATGAGCTCCTCCATCCATCCCAGAAGTCTGGGATCTTAGGAATGGGGATCTCGTGCCTCTTCTTAGCTGCACTTCAGTTCTTTGAGGACTTCTAATGGCAAGTGGCAATGACTCAAATTTGATGTTCTCGCTATGTTTGGGTGGGCAAATTGTTTTCACTTTTTCTGATGTTTGGAGTGGATTGCTCAGGATCAAATATTCACGTTGCCCTGCACTCTGGATATATTTTCATGTGATGATCTTCTGGATTTCTTTAAAAGGGACAGTCTGTCTTATTTTCTTCTTTTCACTTTCAGTTCTATTTCCTGAGAAATGTACACTTCGCCCAAGAATAGGACCTTGCAAGTCTCCTGCTATTCGCTTTTTTTTTGACATAGTAACTGGGACGTGTACGATGTTTGTTTTTAGTGGATGCGGAGGGAATGGAAACAACTTCGTAACTTCGGAGGAATGCATAAAACAATGCAGAACTGCTGGTAGGGAAGTTTTGCAATCTAGGTCCTGAACTAGTATTAGGGGAAATTGGAGCTAATCTTTGGGATCATTCAGTAATCATTTAGAAAGTTAAAAACACCAAAAGAAATTTCATAAATAAATGCCCTAAAAGTAGCCTTTTGTTTTTATGGTTTTCTCTGCAAATGGTTATGTGAGCATTTCCACATTCGAATGGACAACGGGAATCACACAGCGATTACGCACACTATTGAAAAATCTACTGTTGACAACTTGATTTTCATTGTCTCCTTTCCAGGGTAACACTGACTACAATTCTTGATTGGATTGATAGAATCCTTTGAGAGGGGCTGGATTCAGCAGCTGAGGAAGGAATCCAAACTTCCATGGAGTCTCCCACAGAAACACTTTCCATGCATTGAATTCTAAGCATTCTCTTAAATAAACATACAAATGCTTTGACACGCTAATATGCAGTTTCTGAAATACTATTTGCACTACTCCTTTTATTCTATCATGCCATTGACAACATTGCAAACAGGAGACCCCAATACAGAATATTTAGGGAATATATCAGATAGAAAGAATATTCAAATACATCTTATGGGAATAGAGAATGCCGAGCATCTGATCTGGCAGGAATATTTGCTTGGCCTTCCTCCCACACAGTCAACCCTTTTGAGATGGGTCAGGAACTCCACCCAATGGTTGAAGGATAGTGAGAATGATTGGTTTGTGTGTAAGCTTGCAAAACATGTAAGGTATTTCCTTTTCTCTTTTCACATGTCTTTAATTTATTGTTACACTAAGCTATGTTTTCTTCAGCACTGTTTAACCAGAATGAGGGTACATAGTTACACCAGAAATGTACTCATGGTCCCTACATATCTGCTCATTGTTCAAACCATATGAATGTCCAGCTGCATTTCCTACAATGCAGCAATCCCAATCTTTCCGGCTCTGTGGACCAGTAGGATTAGCGGAAACTGCAGTTGCGGGGGAGAAGGGATGGTTTTCTACAAGCAGCGGGAGTGGAGTTTCGTCCGCTTGCCCATTGCTTGCGCGGCTTGGTTCTCTGTGGTTGGGGACCCCTGCAATAGTGCATATAAAAAGTGGCTTGATTGAGCAAGCACCAGACCCTTGTGTTCAACACTAGGATCTATTTTATTGCATGTTCATTCGGAATTGCTCACTTTGTTTTAGGTTGCCTCTAATCAAAATTTAGGTACCTTTTCCAACCAAACACGG